TGATCTTATCCTTCCTCATCTACCAGCCTAACAAATGCCCATTATGGAAAGACTTGTGAAGGGAGGGGATGGGGGGAGAGGCAAACATAATACCCAATTTTCTTCCCGCCCTCCAAGAGCTAAGTAATTTCGTTAAGCAGATAAAGCAGTTAGACCTACAGGGCAACCAGGCAGACAAGAAAAGATGTTCTAAGGGGCACATGAAAGTATAAACAAAAAATGTTACTGAGGTCCGTTATTGCCTCCTGTCCCCATTGATCTCATATTTTCCTTCGGTATTAAGGGTCCCAAGTCTTGTCATTGGCCCTGCAAAGGCTTGTGACATGGGATAAATGGATGGGTAAGCTGGGCCATCCTCGTATACCTCTCTCCCTATTTTGGGATGATTGTACATATATACCTATATTCAGCAGTGGTCACGTGTTGGATGATTGACTGGATGAATGAATGAATGCTAAGGTCACAGACATTTTAGTGGTTTCCTCTGATAACCGCCAAGAGGATGCAATGGAACGTAACCTTTAATTTCTGAAGCTCAGAAGACCATGTCGCTCAGAAACACAGCTCAGAAACCACACTTTATTTTCAAAATAGAGTTTGTTCTAGCAAATGTATTTTTAAAATGTAAGTCAGACATATGTCCCTTTCTAAGGACTTCTCAGGATAATGTTATCAGCTCTGCCTCTGAGGAAGCTGTACAAGATTTTCTAAATGTAATGTCTTTATCAACTACGGAAGTCCTGCTAGGAGCAAAAGACTGAGAACACTGACACAGGTGCTCAAAGTGGGGCTGAGTCATGACTAGACACCATTCCTGTCCTCCAGTCTCCCACACTCAAAGGCATTTCCACGGTGTTGTAGGCTGGTCACTGATGTCCAGCAGGTTTCGAGAAAAGTCTATTCCCAGTGAACCTGCCCATCTTCTGAGGATGCAGGTGCAGTAAAATGCTTTCAACTTTATTCATAGGTGCAGTAAAATGCTTTCAACTTTCAACTGAATTCAACTACAGAATTCACATTTTCATTCCTCCAACCCTTCTTGACACTATCATTTTCTCCAAGAAAGACATGGAATCTTCAACATTACAAATGACATGCCTGATGGTATGCCTTCAGTCAGTTTTCCCAAGGACTGATTGGGAAACCAAATTTTGGCACAGGTTTTAAAGGACATAGGTCCTTGTGCCTTCCGGGATATCAACGCAGTTGAGCTTTCCGCTACTCTGCTCGGTCATACTTGAGACAACCTCCTAAGAAAACCAAGCCAGAGTGATCCACTCAAGCTGTGTGGCCAGTACAGTCCATTCCAGAAAATGTGCTCATGGTTCAGAGTGACTGGGAAAGAGCAAGAGGGTGGTTCTGACTCAGAGACGGAGTCGAATGTAGAGGCTCAGAGTTAGGATCAGCAGTAATGGTAGGAAAAGACTACTCCCTGGACATGTGAGAGGCCCTGTGAGCTGGTGATTGAATAATCACGGAGCTCCAAGTGCACCCCTGACTTGCCGCGTGCCTGAGAACTTAGCCCCTTTGACTTTCCTCTTCCCCATCGACACGCCCAAAGTTAGTTGAGTAGCTCTATTGCAACGTACTGGTTGATACTGGTGAGGGTATCTTGTCCAGCTGTCCGGGCTAGGGACTCTCTCATTATCACCAGGACCTGGCTACACACACTCCTGCTCAAGGAGTTGTTGAATGTGGACTTGGTCCTTGCATGTGGCCCCGGGAAAATTCCTTGCAGGTGGCCAGCTTCTGAGCTGGAACTCACTGCCACTCTGTTACCTCCCAGAAAAGGCCCTCCCAATTCTATTACTCTAGCCACATACTATACAATCACTCTAATACAAATTCCTACTGTTGTTTTCATTAGTCCCTTCCAGAAATGAGCACACTCAGGACAAAAGCAAAAATGAATACAGAGAGTGAACCCTACAGCTAGGACAAGGCAGAAGGCAATGGGGAATTTCTGGGAGCAGCGTTTTGGGCTGGATATTATGTGGAGCGTTGAGGGTCAAACCTTTAAGTCTATGACACTACATGTAGAAAATAAACTGGCAAAACACATTTTAAACTGATGACACCATTCTGGCTATGTTTATACCACACCAGTAAAACCAGTTGGAAAAACAAAAATTGAATGAAATTGACTGTCAAGATGATACCCAATTATTGGCTGGCCTGCTGGTTTTCTTCTTCTTTTTCTTAAATAACAGAACCAAATAATTATTTAACTAAATACATGACCTAATTTTTCTCCTAACATGTGATGAATGACCTTAACCTTTTTCTTACTTTTTTTTTTTTTAAAGATTTTATTTACTTGAGAGAGAGAGATCACAAATAGGCAGAGAGAGAGAGAGGGGAAGCAGGCTCTCCGCTGAGCAGACAGCCCGACGCAGGGCTCGATCCCAGGACGCTGAGACCATGACCTGAGCAGAAGGCAGAGGCTCAACCCACCGAGCCACCCAGGCGCCCCGAACTTAACCTTTTTCAATCACTATCAACTCAGTCTCTTATTCATCCCTAATGTTCTCCCCTCTTGTTTGCTTCTTTCAAATATTCGCTGATAGACTTAAAAAAGCATCAAATGACTAGAAGGCATAGAAAAGTTAAACACTGCCTAGTATGGGTTCTTGGTGACAAGGCGAATGTTCTGCTGGAAGCAGCCAAGTCGTCCGTTTACATCATTTCCAACTGCCCAGCACTAGTGAGGAAACCAAGTTCCTGCTTTAAACTGGACTGACCTTTGGGCAACATTCAAATCCAGCAAGTCATAATCTGCTACCCAAACCTCTTAATGGGGACAAGCCAGAGGCGGGGGGAACAAAATGGGCCCAGAAAGATGCTGCAAAACAAACCCAGCACAAAAGAATGCTCCGGCTCAACCTTGCCTTCTCTCCCACAGTGAGAGAGTCTTTCATCTCTGAGATTTGCAAACATTGGCTTGGAATCCTCACAACAACCTTGTGAGCCAGGCAGGTGGTACATGTTATGATCCCCTCGTATTAAAGATGGAAAAGATGAAAATGATGGTGATAAAAACTGAAGCACATCAAACAGTACCAGCACCGTCCCATGAAAAGTCCCATGGCTTTCTCAGGAAGAAAGAGAAAGAAGGAAGGGAGGAAGGGAGGAAGGGAGGAAGGAAGGAAGGAAGGAGAAAGAAAGAAAGAGAGAAAGAAAGGAAGGAAGAAAGAAAGAAAGAAAGAAACGAGAGGGAGGAAGGAAGGAAGGAAGGAAGGGAAAAGTAGAAACTGTCAAATATATTCTTATCTATTTTACGAAGTTTTACACCCATGCTAAGGTCCCACTAGTTTTGAAAGTCTAGAGCATAAGGAGTTGAATTGTTACATTGTTCAAAGGGGCAGAGAACTCTCTTGGGAAATTAGGCATTCTTTTTAAGTGTTTTATTTATGAAAAACACTGGCAGAGTCAAGAAATGTTCTCTTGATTCCATCTGGTCCCGTGGCTGCTCCTTATCCCAGTGTGAGGAGGGGGTGACATTTAGCCTAAGAGCCTGCAGAAACCTCCAGGGAGTTGGTGAAAGGCCCATGGAGGAGCTCTGCAGAGACTAGGACTCCAGAGAATTCAGAGAGCCCTGGCACATCAGCCCAGCGGGGTAGCTGCCATGGACGGAAACAGCTTGTCCCCCTGCCCTGGGGGAATCAAGGGAGTGGAAGCCATTCCCGCCTTTGGGTCTTAAAAGCCACTGTAAAATTGGCCATACCCCCCAAAGGCCCACAGAACATAGATAAAATCAAGTTTTCGGCCGGGCGAGAGGAGGAATCAGAGAAGGGGCCTCGGTGCACTTTCCTGGGGACTGACAGCGAGTGTTTCTCGGAGATTTCTCCCGTGTTTCAACAAGTCTTTTGCCTCCTGGAAGGGGAAGGGGAGCAAGAGCTCCTGTTGCCTCCACCATTCCCTTCACAGGTTGGGGCCTGCGACAGGGCTCCTTGCTCCCGAGGGTAAGATTGTCGGCGAAGCCGCACACGGCACCCCTGAGGCAGCAGACACTGCAGCGTCCCCACCCTGAGCAATTTTCCAGAACTCAACTCCTCTTTGCACTAATCTCCTGTCTCTCCTACTCTCTTTTTCCCTCCTGCGCCCGGACACGCGCGCGTGCGAACACACACATACACGGACTTTTCTCAGGCGCCCTCCACGAGTCCTCCAGCCCTGCAGGGCCCCCCACCCCTCTTCGGAACACCTTTCACAAGAGGTGCCCCCACCCCAGCGGAGGGGAGGGAAAGGGTCCAGAGTGCCCGGGGTAGAGGCCAGGATGGCGTAGGGCACCTCTTTCCAGGCCGGCGCGGAGAGGAGGGAGAGGGGCGCGGAGCCCGGGGCTGGGAGAGGGGGGGATGCTGGCGGGAGGGAGGAGGTTAAGGACTGGGAGGGGAAGGGAAGGTGCAGGGGAGCGGCGGCGGGGAGGGAGAGGGAGGAGGAGGCAGGAGGAGGCGAAGGGGCTGGAGAGTAGGAGGGTGGGAGAGGAGGCTGGAGGAGGAGGCGGGAGAGGCGGTGCCCCATGCGCCCTTTCAAGTCTCGGCGCCCCCGGCCCCCGGCCCCCCGCCCACAGTCTGCGGCCGGGGAGGCGGTGGCCCGGCGGTGCCGCCCCGACTCCTCCCCCGACTCCTCCCCCGGCCCCTCCCCCGGCCCGCGGCCCGGCCGCCCCGCCGGCGGCGCTCGGGAAATATGAAGAGACGCTGCAGCTGCGGCGGTGGTGGCGGCCAGTGCAGCTCGGAGCGGCGCGCGCTGCGGTGGTGGTGGCGGCGGCGGCGGCGGCGGCCGGGGAGGGACTCAGAGGGCCCGGGTGCTGGGAGGCCGGGAGCAGGGACCGGACCGGGCCGGGCGCGCGGGGCCCCGACGGCGCCCAGAGAGCGCGCGCCCCGCAGCCCCCGCGCCGCGCCGCGCCTTCCGAGCATGGGGCGCGCCGCTGCCGCCTGACGCGCGGGGCCTGGGCCGGCCGCCCGTGTCCCCGCGCCGCCGCGCTCGCCTTGCTGGGCGCCGCCGCCTCGTCGCGTCCTCCGGGTTGGAGGCGGGGGGACAGAGCGCGCGCGGCGCCGCGGCCGTTCCCGGGGAGCGGCGTCCCTGGACGGCGGGCGGCTCGGGCGGTCCCGGAGGAGGACTGGAGATGTCCTGTCTGTGCCGCCTCCTGCTCGCGTACCTGTTCCCGGCCCTCCTGCTTCACGGTGAGTTCCTGCGCGGGCGACCGCCGCTCCCCCTGCCCGCCTCCCGGGAGAGGGTGCTCGCGGGTCCCCCGGCGGCGGCCGGAGCCGGTTTGCGGCTGGAGCTTGCTTTCTGGAAGGGTGCGGAGCTCACACACAGACCCCTTTTAGCTCCTGAATGGATTGCATCAAGTTCCAGGGAAGACTTTTACGCGCTCTTGGGGTTTCAGAGTGCGGACTGTCATGAAATCGTGGGCTTGGCCATCCCGTCTCCAAAGTGTCAAGAGTGCCTGCCAGAGGGGCTCTTGATGTGGTGCAAGCTTTTGTGGGGCTGGAAAGCGAAACCGTGGTCATTTAAGAGGGAAAACAGCCCGCGCGCGTTTCTCTGTGCCCTCGGAGAGGACTAGTGTTTGCTGAAGGTGTGGTGGTGGGGCTCTCCCCCAAGTGGACTGGGTGCAGTCTCAGGGAGCAGGGGACTCTGAACAGTCAAGGTGTAATTATGAAAATCGGTCTCCGAAGGTTCTCCGGCCCCGGACACCTTGTTTGCCTTCAGACTCTTGCTTAATGGTTTTGTTTCTGCGCCTCATGGGCCCCATTTCCTCGGGGGCTCCAGTAAACCTTAGCCGGAGAACATCAGCTCTTTCAAAGAGTTCCAGGAATTGCACTGAGAAAAATAAGGCCGATTTTGTGGGAGATTGGTGTTGATCCTCGCTGCAGTCGGTGGCAGAACACGTTGTGCTGATTGAGAAGTCCTGAGTGAATTTTCCCTAATGGTGGGCACCTGACATTTAAGGGAGCATCTCCACCCGGAGCGTGGCTCTCCTTCCTCCACACCACCAAGCCTCCCCAACCTCTGCAGGTCAGATGAGCACCCTCAAAGACAGTTTCTCTCGTGGAGCTTCAGAATGCATGGATGCACCTGTATGTAGCTAGCACCCAGACCAGACTGTGACCCCCATCCCACCCCACTGCAGCCCCCCACCCTGTGTGATCTAGAAAGGCAGGAGCCAGTGAATCCTGGAGCTATGGAAGTGGCTCTTTGCTTTGTAGTCCTGCTTCAGGGCAGACAGCTCCAGGCCCTGCTAAGGTGTCCAGTGGGGCCAGACCTGCCGGATTGCCAAGGTGTGTCTGTGAGCCCCAGTGATCCCAGACTTTAAAAGTCAGGATGGAAGGCTTGCAGTTCCAGGGCCAAAGAGAGAGGGTATAATTATAGGGTTGCACTCCTAGGCCCATCTGCTTAGAATTACAGAGCAGTTTTAATCTTTGGCTGAAACATGAAACAAATCAGAGCCAATGAACAGATCAAACAGCAGCTGCCACACACACCAGAAGAAAGAGAGTGAGAGAGATGAAACAGAGAAAATTGTCCCCCTAAAAAAAAAATCTGTTGTAATATCTGCAAACAAAAATGGCAGGATGGTCAAATGACTTTAACATGAGAGATTACTTGAAAATTGGGCATAAACGGAATTTTTTTTTTTTTTTTTGCATTTTGAACTACAGAAGTGGTCCACATATGCATCGTGGACCGGCTAGTTCTGAACGCTTTCTCCCTCCTTTCAGAGACGGGTGTTGTAATTATACTTCCTACCCTGCCCGCTAGTCTAAGCTGGAATGGTAACTAATAGTTAGTAATAAAAGCCCCAGTATACCCTTGTGAGTGTAGCCCCAAATCTCCCAATTTGAGTCTGTGTTGGCCTGAACTTCTCTGGATTAGAGATTGACCCAGTTGTGCTAGAAGGAGAACCTTGTGATGAGGAAGGAAGGGGTCAGTCTTCACTCTAACCCGAGTGTGGGGGCGGGGGGGGGGAGCGCATCAGACCCTGTGCATGGTGATGAAGAGGATATAAGAGAAAAAAGGCAGTTTGCAAATTCTAACTGGATGACATGGATACCCTGAAAAAAATGACCCAATTTAAAAGTGAATCTGCAAAGGCAAAATTATTCATGCTGTAGTTGCTCACAGATCCCCTTGGATCTGGCAGGGAGTGTTGGACTCTAGCTCAAAAAATAAACAGATAGAATGGTGGTTCAACGTATAAATCCTTGGGATTTAAGAAAGGCTTGTCATAATTCGTTAGGATAACGTAAAGCACCAGGAAATGATTGAGTATTCTCCTTTTCCTCCTGATTTTTCCCGATTCATGTTAATTTTAACTGAAAATGGGTATTGATCGTCTTAACCCTAGTGAATGGCTTGATGAATGTGTCCTACTCTATAGGAGGTTTTACAAGCATTTAAAAATTCTGTAGTGACAGATGAGCTTAATCGTATATTTTAGTAGTTATGAGTTGAAGGAAATTACCTAAAATCTTCTTAGAATTGCTTAATGGTTTTTTTCCTGATACCTAGGCATCTTATTTTACTAACCCTAGGACATTATTTGTCTGTTTATGGTAGCAATTGTTAGGTAACAACAGATTTTTTGGGGTCAGGAGTGTATTTGTGACAAACTTTGAATATAGTTTCAGACATCATTTATAGATAGTTACACTAGCAAGTCACATTAATAAGATTAAAAAGTACACGAGGCCTTCAGGAAGATTCTGTGTAAGGGTGACATAGAAAAACTATGATGTTTGGCCTCCAGTCTTTGCTCAGTTTGTTGGTTACTTTTATTTCAACTCATTGCAAGTCATAAATCACCCCCATGTCCTACTGGTGAGTAAATTAGGCTCTGGCCAGACTTGGAGCCTGTTGTTTGTTTTTGCTGTTTTTTAAACTGTAAATGTAGAGCAGGACTCAAGTTCAAAATCTAATGGCATAAAAGTATACACGTCAGTTTTACTTTCCTCTCCTTCCACTTCTGAAAACAATTGAATTTCTTAATCCAAATAAAACCTATTGAATGTCACGGAGGTATGCAGCTGGAAGACGTCCGTTATCACTGTTTTCTTTGCTTAGATGAAAAGCCACAAAAATCATCCGGCTCCAGAAACACAGATTAGCATGAGGTATTCCAGATTAAGTGGTGCTTTAATGCACAGCAAAGTGCAGACTCCCCTTGCTAATGGAAATATTTGATTTTAAGTTTTGGAACTGATGTTGGGGGAGATGTTCTACCCCCCATGCCGTTTACTTGTGTAGCATTCGTTGACTTTTCTGAAAGGTGAAGGCACTTTTGAGCTATTCCCTTTCATCCAAAGAATTCTAGCAAAATGGGAAAAAAAGAAAGAAAGAAAAACTAAATTTCCAAATGCGAGCTTACCCAACAAAATTGGCCAAAACACTTAAATAGGGTAAAATAAGAATCTTTGAAATACCGTTATACCAAAGAAGACAGTTTTTGTAACCAAGAAAACACTGTGTTTCCTACACCCTCTCCCCCTTGGTCATAAAATGAAATCTTGAGAAGAAATCTGACTCAGTGGTACATAACAAGGGGCAAGGGTCTTAGATGTTAAATATTCTCTTGCGAAATCAATTGACTTGCTTCAAATACACAGCTAGGCAGATCTATAATAACAATGTTCATTCTTTTTCTCCCCAAACAAGAAGAGAACTAAACCTTAAGTGGATTATATGACTGTGTAATTACATAGTGTTTAGGGACAGACTGATGACAACTTGATATAATCAGTTAAAGTGAAGCATAAAACATTTAAGACTTGAAACATGAAAAGCTAGGTTAGTGATTGTTTACATCTGCTGAAAGCTCACACAGCAGGACGTGTCTTCGATAGACCCCCGCGTGTAGCTTTGAAATGAAGACCCTGCCATCGTTGTCCACGCACGCCTTCTTACTGTGTCAAGATTGTATGTGTTCGGGTCCTTGTGTAGCTCTGATTTGGGAATAGAATTATTCTGGGATGTTATGGGATGGGTATCGAGGTCAGAGAAATGATAGGGGAACACCCTAAAATTATTAAGGGTGTTCTGTTCTGTAAGGGTTTTCCAGTTTCATTCATTCAGCAAGTACATTTATGAGGCCCTACTGTGTGCCAAGTACCACTGTGTGCCAGGGACAGGAGCTGTGAGGAGGCCCATACTCCCTTTCCTGCAGAGCCCCAAAGAATATTGAGGGGGGAGGAAGGAAAGCTTGTTGCAAGGCTCCAGAGCTGGGAGGATGGCATGCTCTGTAGTACTTTCCTTGCTGAGAATCCCACCAAACTGTCCCAAACCTACATATACCCCACGCACACCATGCACGTGTGCTTGCACATGCACACATGCACAGACACACAGACACACACACACCTGCACATGTGCACGACTGTGCTGAAGAACATTGTGCGGCAGCAACAGTCAGCTACAGATGCAACATGCAAATTGTGCAATTGACACAGGATGTCAACCCCAGTGTCTAACCTGGAGACTGTGGCATTAGAAGAAAATGACATAGACAATTACCTCATTTGCAGCTACGGTTGAATGGAGCCAGGAATTTGAAATCTTGACTTTATTATATTTCTCATAAAGGGAAAAATAGTTTTAGATAAAAAGGTTTAAAGATTGGCAAGAGCTGTTCTTTCAGCTTTTATCTCAAAAAACAATTTGGAAATAAAAATAAGAGCTTGGTAGGCATAGCTACCCACATGGTAATGAAATCCAGTTTGTCTGCAACACATACAGGCTTTTATTCCAACAGCATGAAAAGCTGTGCTGGAGTTTATCTAGCAGAATCCATGGTAAAGCATACGTTTACAGTAATGACTGCTTATTTAATTGGGCAGGGCAATTTCATGGCTAAGTAATTACCTGCATTTAATCTAATCAGTCGCATTTTATCTGCTTTGGGTTTTTACATATCCCACCAGTTCTAACTTGAGAATACTTTCTCACTCTGATTATCCAAGTGATACATGTCACATTATTTAAAACAGAGGCATGCAAAGTGAACGAGAAAAGCATCACTCAGAACCCCCTCCTCGGAGACAACCATTGTTAATATTTTTCCATATGCTTATTTAGCCTTTAAAAAGTTTCTTTAAAGGATTGCACTACATGTTATAGAGACTGTCCTGATCAAAGATTAGTTTAAGTCCCAAGTATGCTTGAAAATCATTTCCTTCCCCACTAATTT